TCTTGAAACTGTTGAGCGTGAAAAGCCCAGCAGCGTTGCAGTTCTTGACACACTAACATACCCTGGCACCTACTAACATACCCTATTCCAGTGGTGATTTTAGCATGTAAATCTTGGTGGGCCAAAAAGCTGTCCCAACAGCAGAGTCCAAAAAGCAGTCCCAACACCTTACCACTACTAAACCTGGCTATCAGCAGAGCCTTGACTGGCAGCGAAACAGTTCATTCAGCCTAATTTACTGCCTTTAAAAAAAACATAGCTGATATGGCTGACTTGCTTGAAGAAATTTGGGTTCTACTGAAAATTGAGATGTACAAACTATGGCATAAGGGGACGAGAAGCGGGAAAGAGGCAATCCGTAATTTTGATTAAGACATTAATGAGCGAGCTAGGACGGACATAGTCAATATAACTATTTTTCCAGCACTTTTGAAATGTACAACGACACAATTCAGAACATGGCCCAGTTCTTACAGTGTTCTCCCTGTACACCAAGTCAGAACCGTAGGATAAATAAAGGGGGCATATAAGCAGACCATTTTTTAATATAATTACAATATTCGATGATTACATTTCTCTAAAACAGGTTATAGGCTACACGTGCACCACCAAGTCAGAACAGTAGGCGAAATTAAGAGGGGAAAATATACCAAATTATTAGGGTGAGCGTAGCGGGTGATGTAGGACGGAGCCAGGCACAGGAGAGGAAATCACGGCATAAATGGTTTATTCAAACAAACAGAGGTACGCAGCAATGCATAATATACACCAGTGCTGTAAACGGCGCACTGGGGATGACAAGGCACACGGGTGAATATCCCGGCGATACACAATACAAATCTAGCTCCACCGAGCTACACATCCTCTACAATGAACAATCACACACAAAGACAAGGGGGGCAGAGGGAACACTTATACAGGTACTGATGAGGGGATATGAACCAGGTGTGTGTAATAAACAAGACAAAACCAATGGAATGATGTGATGAGGAGCGGCAGTGGCTAGAAGGCCGGTGACGACAAAAGCCGAAGCCTGCCCGAACAAGGAGAGGAGGCAGCCTCGGAGGAAGTTGTGACAGTGAGGCACATGGGCTACTAACCATTTACTACACAACATACACTTAGTATTACTTTCTTAGCTACAGTATACATATCTCCCTGGCATATTATTATGTAGCAGCATACAAGACAGTTGTGCTGTGCTCACTTGAACAGGAAGGTGGCGCGGCGGTCCTTCGTAGGCAAATTTCGTCATCAAACTTCGTCATCAAAGTCTGGCATTCTCTGGATTTATGGTGCTTTCAAGACAACTTGGAACTCTGAAAAAACCCAGATCGAATCATGATGACGTCAGTGATCTTCAGGTCATAGCTCTAGAAAGAGGCCCGATTTCCGGATTTACAATTCCGAGCTGGATGACCGTTCAAAACATATTTTCCCAGTCGGAGCTTGTTTTTCCCGAGTTCTCAGTTGTCTTGAACTCACTGAAGTCAGATTTCGCAGTTCCGAGTTAACAATTGTTTTCAATTACCTTAAGCCTTCATGGATGGGCACTTCTAATGTAACTCTATGGCAGCACCCAAGGGGCTTGAATTTTCGAGCTCTACACTTAGACTTGGCGGTGACGTAGTGTCCCCATGAGTGACAGAACACTGAGCCAATCACGGTGCAACTAGAGTACATTATCAACACCTACGCTCCGTATTTTCCGCTGCAGGGTGCATCCTGTTTCCATTGATCATCCTTGAGCTATTTCTACAACTTGATTGGAGTCCACCTGTGGTAAATTCAATTGATTGGACATGATTTGGAAAGGCACACACCTGTCTATATAAGGTCCCACAGTTGACAGTGCATGTCAGAGCAAAAACCAAGCCATGAGGTCGAAGGAATGGTTTGTAGAGCTCCGAGACAGGATTGTGTCGAGGCACATATCTGGGGAAGGGTAACAAAAAAATGTCTGCAGCATTGAAGGTCCCCAGGAACACAGTGGCCTCCATCATTCTTAAATGGAAGAAGTTTGGAACCACCAAGACTCTTCCTAGAGCAGGCCGCCCGACCAAACTGAGCAATCGGGGGAGAAGGGCCTTGGTCAGGGAGGTGACCAAGAACCCGATGGTCACTCTGACAGCGGCAGGGACTGAGAGACTAGTCAGGATGGAGGGAAAGATGAACGGAGCAAAGTACAGAGAGATCCTTGATGAAAACCTGCTCCAGAGCGCTCAAGACCTCAGACTGGGGCGAAGGTTCACCTTCCAACAGGACAACGACCCTAAGCACACAACCAAGACAACGCAGGAGTGGCTTCAGGACAGGTCTCTGAATGTCCTTGAGTGGCCCAGCCAGAGCCCGGACTTGAACCCAATCGAACATCTCTGTAGAGACCTGAAAATAGCTGTGCAGCAACACTCCCCATCCAACCTGACAGAGCTTGAGAGGATCTGCAGAGAAGAATGGGAGAAACTCCCCAAATACAGGTGTGCCAAGCTTGTAGCATCATACCCAAGAAGACTCGAAGCGGCAATTGCTGCCAAAGGTGCTTCAACAAAGAACTGAGTAAAGGGTCATTCTATAAATTAGAAAATAATTCTAAAAACCTGTTTTTGCTTTGTCATTATGGGGTATTGTGTGTAGATTGATGAGGGGGAAAAAACAATTTAATCAATTTTAGAATAAGGCTGTAACATAAAATGTGGAAAAAGTCAAGGGGTCTGAATACTTTCCGAATGCACTGTATGCCATTGCCCCAACTGTTGACCAGGCGTGGTTAGAGCTGCAATCTGACTTTGTTTCCTTACAGAAAGCCCCGGTTGGTTTAAAACTTGTACTTAATGCGGGCAAGACTAAATACACATTCTCTAATTATAGCAAAAATTGCCAAATATTTATTCATTGGATGGTTCTCCCATCAATAGGGTTCCTGGTTATAAATATCTGGGCATTTGGATTGACAAATATTTAATGTTTAAAAAACATACAGATGAGCTAGTTAAAAAGCAAAGATTTAAAGCGGGGTTTTTAAAAATTTTTTTTATTGATCTTGCCTCTCCCTAAATGGCAGGAAGCACATTGTACAGTCAACTTTCCTGCCAGTTCCTGACTATGGAGACTCCATTTACCAGAATGCAGCTGCCACTACTCTTTTTAAACCTTTGGATGCCGTCTACCATAGTGCCCTTCGCTTTATCACAGGTGACCATTTTAGTACTCATCACTGCATCCTGTATCAAAAGGTTGGCTGGTCCTCATTAAAGTCCCATAGATCACTTCACTATTCCCTTTCTGTTTACAAAGCTTTACTACACAAGCTTCCAACTTACCTAACTTCGCTGTTAAAATACAAAAACATGAGATACCAAACCCGTTCACAAGGTTGGTTAACTCTTGAGGTTCCTTGGGTCTCCAAACTAGGGAAATCCTCTTTTAGTTTTAAAGCACCTCATTGCTGGAACCAACTACAAAATACATTACAATTGGATGTTCTGGTGCCGCTCGGGCAATTTCAAATATTGACTGGGGACCTTCTTATTGAGGACTGTAATTGTTTTTCTTGAATATTTGTGTTGTGCTGTATTTTACTGGTTTTATATTGTATTTGATTTGAGATTTTGTCTTATGAAATTGTATATGCAGGACTCCCTTGTGAAAGAGACCCTGGTCTCAATGCTGACTCCCTGCTTAAATAAAGGTAAAATAAATTAAAGAAGTGTAAATTAAATCTGTTATGTAGGCTACAGTCGATCCGTCAGGGTGGTTGATGGCACTGCCAGAGAGCTCTCCTCGTTTTGCTTACTGTAGCTAAATGCACAGTGGCAGCCAGGCTGTAAATCAGGGTGGGACATACACAGTAAGCTATTTATAGAAAAGGGTAAAATATGAGTTTGGAATAATTTTCACCAGGTGAATCACTGGAATGTAGGCCTATTTTGTTTATTTATCAGTCACTTAAGGCCTAGTTCAGAGGTGTTCAACCTTGGGTCTGCGGTATGTATTTATTTATTTTAAGTGGGAAATGTTTTTCTTTTATTTCAATGTTTTTATGAATATCGGTAGCAGAATAAATGCATTCTGAAGGACATACCTACAGTAGAAAAATATGATAATATCTTCTTTCAACTATTTCTAAATTCCTATTGAGCAAATTACACTCATTGTAGCTAATTACACTCATTGTAGCTAATTACACTCACTGGCCTACCAGTAGTGGAAAGTGCTTTCTTGCTTTGGACATACATTTTTGCCAACACATGGCTAACCTTTGTTTAACCAGCTAAACAGCTGCTATTTGCAAAAATGGAGTTACATTTCTAGCTAATAGGCTATGTTAGAGTTTACACTTCCTCTTCCAATTATAATGTGGAGACCGAGGTCGAAATTATGAAAAACTATCTACCAAATCTATTATCATTTTTAAATGTTCATTAGGCCTACTTTTCCTTGACACCCCATCAATCACCTGAATTATAAAACAAGACGTGATCAAGTTTGAAGACCCCTGGCCTAGTTGGTAAAGGATAGCCTATCGATCTGTAAAGGGATGGCCACTTACCACTTACCAAGAAGGTAGTCAATTGTTGACAATGTACATCTATTGCTTTTGGGAGAAAAAAAGAACTGTTCTTATGTTGCTTTACCACTGATGTATGTTGAAATGTTGTAACGTGTTCTTATTCCCTCTCCTGTCCCATTACAGAAAAAAATCAGAAGGAATCGCGGTTGGTGTAATTTAGCCTTCGCGTGGTTCCGTTGGAATGCGTATCACGTGAGCATCAGCTGACTGACTCGAGAAAAGACAGGAAGCAGACAATCGCAATACAATTTCTTGCAAAATATCAAATGTATTAACTGCAGCTAAGTCGATTTAGGCTTTTATTATCATGGAGTCGACCCTGGAGCAACATCTTGATGATACGTAAGTGATTATTTGATCGAGACTCGTACAAAATCGTTAGATTTTTTGAAAACATTCCTGAAATGTGTATCCATATCGTTTTGATAGCATGAAGAATCCAGCCATTGTCGGAGTTCTCTGCACGGACCAACAAGGACATATTCTAGGCTGTAAGTAAAGTTAGACCAATTTCTTGTTGTTTTCATTATTTATCTTATTATTCAGCTGGCAAACATTTGACTGACGACCGCACGCAGTCGTCGTCATCTTCATCATAGTGGGAAATGATGCTAACTACACTATTTTCTTTCAGCCCATGTATGGCAATTCTCTTATTCTTCTGTCTAACAATTGACACTTCAACAAAAGACTAACTGAATGTTTGAAAACTAGGAACATATCCTCTTGAAATGGCAATAGTTACAAATATTAGACAATGCAATAAGTCAAATAATAGTAGCCTAGCTATAGCCAAAGCCTGTTATCTCTGGTAGGGGGGTAAATCCATTTGAATTCAATCACTTTTTGACAGCACCCCTTTTTCATTTGAACAAAACCTTCCATACATATTTTACCGTTGTAGAAGTGCTCAGAAAGTGACTTGTTGGACCTGAATGCCAAAACATTAATTTACTTATATATTTTTCATTTAGCAGATGCTCTTATCCAGAGCGACTTACAGTTAGTGAGTGCATACATTTTTTCATACTGGCCCCCCGTGGGAAACGAACCCACAACCCCTGGCGTTGCAAGCGCCATGCTCTACCAACTGAGCTACACGGGGCTATTCAAGAGATAAAGGTGCACAAAGTTGACCTATTTTACCCCACCATAGCCCAATAATGTACTCTTAAAGATGTGTGGGCGAGCCTACCATTTCTCCTTAAAGGTAGACTCAGCGACGTGACGTAGATGCAGAAAGTAAACAGCATCGTGTGGCAATTTCCACAACAACTAAGTGCGTCGAAGCGCATGGCTCAACTTCTCCGCTATTTTGGTGCCATGGCTACCACGCTGTGAACGAAGTCTTGCATCTCATTCATCTCAATAGCTGCTCATTTCGCTAAGTCTACCTTTTTAAGGTCCAAGGACCAAAACAGCCAGATACTCCATCTGAAGGTGAATCAATTCTCGATTGCTATACGGTTCTAGAAACATAAAGCCCTCTACTTTCATATCACATCAAAATAATTTCACAAACGCTAAATACACACTTACTGTACAATATTTTAACTGGCTTTATCACAGTTGCAGCCGACAACACATTTCTGGCGGCCTTCTTCCGTTACACACAGGTGTTAGGAGCATGCTATAGCTAAATAGCACAGGTGGTCGCCTCTCTTCTGTCTGTCTTCCGTGAACACATGCTGTAACATGGAGATAGGGCCGTGTGGGAAAACTAGCCCCTATGAAGGTGTGTAGTAATTGAACCTTTTTAGTTTTTTGAAAATTATTTATTGCTGATAAGAAAGATACAGTGAGGGGAAAAAAGTATTTGATCCCCTGCTGATTTCGTAAGTTTGCCCACTGACAAAGAAATGATCAGTCTATAATTTTAATGGTAGGTTTATTTGTACAGTGAGAGACAGAATAACAACAACAAAATCCAGAAAAACGCATGTCAAAAATGTTATATTGATTTGCATTTTAATGAGGGAAATAAGTATTTGACCCCCTCTCAATCAGAAAGATATCTGGCTCCCAGGTGTCTTTTATACAGGTAACGAGCTGAGATTAGGAGCACGCTCTTAAAGGGAGTGCTCCTAATCTCAGCTTGTTACCTGTATAAAAGACACCTGTCCACAGAAGCAATCAATCAGATTCCAAACTCTCCACCATGGCCAAGACCAAAGAGCTCTCCAAGGATGTCAGGGACAAGATTGTAGACCTACACAAGGCTGGAATGGGCTACAAGACCATCGCCAAGCAGTGAGAAGGTGACAACAGTTGGTGCGATTATTCGCAAATGGAAGAAACACAAAAGAACTGTCAATCTCCCTCGGCCTTGGGCTCCATGCAAGATCTCACCTCGTGGAGTTGCAATGATCATGAGAACGGTGAGGAATCAGCCCAGAACTACACGGGAGGATCTTGTCAATGATCTCAAGGCAGCTGGGACCATAGTCACCAAGAAAACAATTGGTAACACACTATGCCGTGAAGGACTGAAATCCTGCAGTGCCCGCAAGGTCCCCCTGCTCAAGAAAACACATATACAGGGCCGTCTGAAGTTTGCCAATGAACATCTGAATGATTCAGAGGAGAACTGGGTGAAAGTGTTGTAGTCAGATGAGACCAAAATCGAGCTCTTTGGCATCAACTGTTTGGAGGAGGAGGAAAGCTTCCTATGACCCCAAGAACACCATCCCCACCGTCAAACATGGAGGTGGAAACATTATGCTTTAGGGGTGTTTTTCTGCTAAGGGGACAGGACAACTTCACCGCATCAAAGGGACGATGGATGGGGCCATGTACCGTCAAATCTTGGGTGAGAACCTCCTTCCCTCAGCCAGGGCATTGAAAATGGGTCGTGGATGGGTATTCCAGCATGACAATAACCCAAAACACACGGTCAAGGCAATAAAGGAGTGGCTCAAGAAGAAGCACATTAAGGTCCTGGAGTGGCCTAGCCAGTCTCCAGACCTTAATCCCATAGAAAATCTGTGGAGGGAGCTGAAGGTTCGAGTTGTCAAACGTCAGGCTCGAAACCGTAATGACTTGGAGAAGTTCTGCAAAGAGGAGTGGGACAAAATCCCTCCTGAGATGTGTGCAAACCTGGTGGCCAACTACAAGAAAGATCTGACCTCTGTGATTGCCAACAAGGGTTTTGCCACCAAGTACTAAGTCATGTTTTGCAGAGGGGTCAAATACTTATTTCCCTCATTAAAATGCAAATCAATTTATAAAATTTTTTACATGTGTTTTTCTGGATTTTTTTGTTGTTATTCTTTCTCTCACTGTTCAAATAAACCTACCATTAAAATGATAGACTGATCATGTTTTTGTCAGTGGGCAAACATACAAAATCAGCAGGGGATCAAATACTTTTTTCCCTCAATGTACATTCCTTATGTTTCGAAAAACCGCACAGTAAGCGATGTGTGTTCACGTTTAGACCGAGCGTCAGGCCTATTAACAAAAGTCCCCTGGGAAGAAGATAACTTCATCAATAGACACTAAAGGTAGTTAGCGTCTATGGATGGGGTAACCCCACCATACCATGAGACATCCATGTCTTTATCACTGGAAAAGATAAACAGTTGAGATATCATTTAAAAGCTTACAAACAGGGTTGTCAAACTATTTTATACCTTTTGGAAAAATCCTATTTTTTTTTATAAACATGTCATTTTTTAACCTTAAACGTAATTTATCTAAAAACACTTAAAATCAACAAAAAAAATCTCATATTTGCATGTTGAAGATTAGACCCTATTTTACATAATCTGAGGTTTGAGACATGCTATTGAATACATGGCCCTGGCTAATGTACCAGGCCCACTTTCGAAACTAGTGAACTTATCACTAGATCAGCCTACATTTCGCTCTGTTCTTCCATATGACTGAATCTGAGTCTGCTTTGTCTCCTTGTGTTTGTTTCAGGTCGTGGCTCTCTGTCTGATGAGCACGGGGGAGTGGTGTCTGTACTGGTCAGACAGGCAGCCTCTCTCACCAGAGACCCTACAGACAGCCCCACAGTGTGCCTGGAGTCAGATTTAGGGTGAGGAACCACATCCAATCAGGAGTCAATATTAGGGCGAGTTCCCTTTTGCATCGCTTAGTGCCCCGGGTTGGTAGAGATTTCATTTTAGGACCTATAAAATGTGCAAACTCTGCCCACCCGGGGTACCCGGCGATGCAAAACGAACTCGCCCTCAGATAGTTATATGACCTGTTACTATTGACAAATAGAGTTTCTAGACCCTTCCTCTTTGGGACTTGTGTGGATCTGAAAGTATTGGATAGATAATGATGCAAAGACTTCCCAGTCTTTCCATCAGAGGGAAAGGCCCAACCATGTTATTATACCTTTGCAAGTGTTTCACATCTACATGGCGGGCATAGGTAGGAACTAGGGGTGGCTTTGGGACTCGACTGGGCGCTTATCTGCAAAGTGAATGTCTTGTTGTCTAGTTAGGTTGTCTTTGACTGTGCTGCCACCTTGTGGATATCAAAAGTATGTGCACTGCTTCATATATAGGTCCATGAACTTCACCTTTACACTGCACTGTGCATATCTCTGAGCAGTCGAAACAACTCATTTGAAACTATGTTCAAGACATAGTCATAAAACACTGATCCCCTGTGGGCAACATGCTATATTTATAATGATGGACAGCTTAAATGGGAATAGATCGTAGGGCAGCATCCTGTAGATCAGGGGTGTCAAACGTCCGGCCCACGGGCCGGATCAGGCCCGCAAACGGGTTTAATCCGGCCCGCGAGATGATTAATTTTTTTTTTTTTTTTAATTATATTATAATTTTGTTAAGTATAAAAATGCGCTGCAATTTTTCTATAAAATAAACTGCTGTTCCAATTGCGTCCACTGGATGGCGCAATAGCAATTGTGTTAAGCAAGCAAACTGTTTATACCGGGGCAGAGCAAGTAGGTCAAGCACGTGCAGCCAATGAGCTACTTTGTTTTGCCCGCGATATTTATTAGGGCTTCTACTTTTAACATTATGTGCTTTGGCACCCTCATTGCCCCAATATGTCTCTGTCAAAAAAGAGAAAAGTGGACGCAGAGTGTTCCAAGAAAAATGGTCATCCTATTTATTCACGGAATTGAATGGGAAAGCTGTATGTTTGGTGTGTTCAGAGCATGTTGCAGTGCTGAATGAATATAACCTTCGTCGCCACTATGTGAGTCTTCATGCCGACAAATATGACAACTTTCAAGGACAGCGGAGATGAGAGAAAATGAATGAACTGTTGGCGGGTCTGAAGAAACAGCAGTCTGTGTTTACTCACAGCCGAGACATCAGTGACGCTGCAGTGAAAGCTAGCTACCTCATTGCTAATGAAATCGCAGTGGCTTCAAAACCATTTAGTGAGGGTGAATTTGTAAAAACATGCATGATGAAGGCAGCGGAGATTGTGTGCCCTGAAAAGCGGCAGGCTTTTGCAAATATCAGCCTGACAAGAAACACAGTTGCAGACAGGATTTCCGATCTTTCAGTGGATTTGGACAGCCAGTTGAAGCAAAAAGTAAAGTCATTTATTGCGTTTTCGGTTGCAATTGATGAAAGCACGGATTTTACAGATGTTGCACAACTGGCCATTTTCATCCGCAGAGTTGATGACACATTGACCATCACAGAGGAGTTCGTGGAGTTGGTGCCGATGACAGATACGACAGCAGCTGATATTTTTACCGCACTCGTCGGCGCGCTGGACAGGGTCGGAGTGGACTGGTCCCGCGCTGTCAGCCTGGCTACAGATGGTGCGCCCTCAATGATCGGGAAAAAAGCAGGCGTTGTGACAAAGTTCAGAGAGAAAGTGCAATCTGCAAATGGAGGACGTGATTTTTTGACTTTTCACTGTATTTTGCACCAGGAGGCTTTGTGTTGCAAGTCATTAAAGATGGATAACGTCATGAAGGTGGTCATCCAAACTGTTAATTTCATCCGATCCAGAAGCCTGAATCACCGTCAGTTTGACAGCCTTCTCAGAGAGAAAGACCACATCTATGGCCTGCCATACCACACTGAGGTAAGATGGTTAAGCCGAGGTGCTGTGCTGAGGCGTTTCTTTGATTTACGAGAAGAAATTGAACAGTTCATGGAAGAAAAGGGCAAACCAGTGTTAGAATTTCATTCTGCAGAATGGATGCAGGACCTTGCATTTATGGTGGATGTTACAGAGCACCTGAATAACTTGAAGAAACAGCTGCAAGGGCGCAACAAAGTTGTCACGCAGTATTATGACAGCATACGTTCTTTCAAGTTGAAGCTGTCATTGTGGGAGACGCAACTTGCCGGTGGTGATGCAGCTCACTTCCCCTGTCTGAAAAATGTGTGCGCGACCCAACATGTGGCAGACATGAAGCGGTTCAAAGATAAAATAACGGGACTGTTACGGGAGTTTGAGCAACGCTTTCAGATTTATGTTTTTATGTTGATGTGCTATTGTTTGATTTTATTTTATTTGTATATTTAACCTATTCTTGACTCTGTGGTTCTTGCACTTGTTTGGGGAACAGGATTTCATTATTTTATCTACATTTCTGCCTGAGAAATGACACCCTGATATAGATCTGTGATATACTTCTGTGAATCACTGAGGCTTTGTGTGTTCTTTGTCCTCAGAACTTTCAAATAACTTGAGGTGTTTTATGATTAATAGTGATGTTGTGCTTTTGGACACTGTCCTCAGGCTCCAGCTTTATTTTTATGTTGATGTGCTATTGTTTTTAATTTATTTTATTTGTATATTTAACCTATTCTTGACTCTGTGGTTCTTGCACTTGTTTGGGGAACAGGATTTCATTATTTTTATCTACATTTCTGCCTGAGAAATGACACCCTGATATAGATCTGTGAAACAGTTCTGTTAATCACTGAGGCATTGTGTGTTTGTGTGTTCTTTTTCTTTAGAATTTTCAAATAAACTTGACGTGTTTTATGATTAATAGTGATGTTGTGCTTGTACTATTTTGGACACACTGTCCTCAGGCTCCAGCTTTATGTTGTATGTTGATCGTATTAAAACAAAGAAAACAATCTGAAGTTGTTGTTTTTAAGTTATATATATATATATATATATATATATATATATATACCATGATTTTTCCGGTCCGGCCCACTTGGGAATAGATTTTCCTCCATGTGGCCCCTGAGCTAAAATGAGTTTGACACCCCTGCTGTAGATGCAAATTACACCATGACATGCTGCCTATGGTATTTAATGGTATGTCGAGCTGAGGCAGTTGGTCACTTTCTGCTGATCTGGGATCAGTTTTGTAGTTTAGTAATGTCTTGATTGAAATGCAATTGATTGGCCACAGGCCATATTGTTTGTTTTACCCACAGGAATATTCTAGTGAGAGCACATGGAAGCATCACAGTAGCTGTTCATAAGATGTCGTCATGAAGTCGCCTAATGAAGATGGAGGAGTCTGTGTGTAAAGCTGTTTGCTCACTAATGCTAAATAATCCCACACAATACATGGTGTGGATCTGGGAGGTTGCATTCAGGTGTTAGATAGCTTTTTTTTTCTCTTCATCTTCCACTGTCTGTTTGGCCAAGAATCATATTTAAAAGTAGAGTCCATACTATTTGAGTTGTGTTTTGTATAAGTTAATAGGTCTGATCAGTTTTTGGGCCAATATTTGTTGACCTGGCAATGACTTTTTGGGACATTTTAATCTGCAATTCATGTAGAGATATTGTAATATATTAATATTAAAAGCAATGTAACATCAATATGCAACTTGTCAATAGTGTTATGGTGTCTGTTCTGTATTAAAAAGCATACTGCCATGTCAGGGGGACTTAGTTACGTCATACTGTGCTGTACTGGCTAGACTGAGAATCTTCTAGTTTTTAGTGCAAATAGGAAGTATGCCAAATGAATGTCCCACTTGTAGGATACTTGACTTGACCTGAGACGGATGAACATCGAGTCCTCGTCACAGTTCACTCTCTTTAGTGCTGTGTCTGTTTTTCAAATGTGAGGTGTGACAAATGTCCCTCTTTTGGGACGAGTAATTCAACTTGACCTACAGGAGTTGAACATTGAGTCTGGGCCACCCCTCACACCCCTCCGGGCCACCCCTCACAGTCCCCATTACAGCCTGAAGGCCACCCCTCACAGTCCCCATTACAGCCTGAAGGCCACCCCTCACAGTCCCCATTACAGCCTGAAGGCCACCCCTCACAGTCCCCATTACAGCCTGAAGGCCACCCCTCACAGTCCCCATTACAGCCTGAAGGCCACCCCTCACAGTCCCCATTACAGCCTGAAGGCCACCCCTCACAGTCCCCATTACAGCCCTCTGGGCCACCCCTCACAGTCCCCATTACAGCCTGAAGGCCACCCCTCACAGTCCCCATTACAGCCTGAAGGCCACCCCTCACAGTCCCCATTACAGCCCTCTGGGCCACCCCTCACAGTCCCCATTACAGCCCTCTGGGCCACCCCTCACAGTCCCCATTACAGCCTGAAGGCCACCCCTCACAGTCCCCATTACAGCCTGAAGGCCACCCCTCACAGTCCCCATTACAGCCTGAAGGCCACCCCTCACAGTCCCCATTACAGCCTGAAGGCCACCCCTCACAGTCCCCATTACAGCCTGAAGGCCACCCCTCACAGTCCCCATTACAGCCCTCTGGGCCACCCCTCACAGTCCCCATTACAGCCCTCTGGGCCACCCCTCACAGTCCCCATTACAGCCCTCTGGGCCACCCCTCACAGTCCCCATTACAGCCTGAAGGCCACCCCTCACAGTCCCCATTACAGCCTGAAGGCCACCCCTCACAGTCCCCATTACAGCCTGAAGGCCACCCCTCACAGTCCCCATTACAGCCCTCTGGGCCACCCCTCACAGTCCCCATTACAGCCCTCTGGGCCACCCCTCACAGTCCCCATTACAGCCCTCTGGGCCACCCCTCACAGTCCCCATTACAGCCTGAAGGCCACCCCTCACAGTCCCCATTACAGCCTGAAGGCCACCCCTCACAGTCCCCATTACAGCCTGAAGGCCACCCCTCACAGTCCCCATTACAGCCCTCTGGGCCACCCCTCACAGTCCCCATTACAGCCCTCTGGGCCACCCCTCACAGTCCCCATTACAGCCTGAAGGCCACCCCTCACAGTCCCCATTACAGCCTGAAGGCCACCCCTCACAGTCCCCATTACAGCCTGAAGGCCACCCCTCACAGTCCCCATTACAGCCCTCTGGGCCACCCCTCACAGTCCCCATTACAGCCTGAGGCCACCCCTCACAGT